GGTGATTCTCTTGCCTCAGCCTCCTGAGTAGCTGGGACTACAGGCACCTGCCACAACTCCCAGCTATTTTTTTGTTGCAGTTTAGCTGGGGCTGGGTTTGAACCTGCCATCCTCGGTATATGGAGCCGGTGCCCTACTCAATGCTACTCAATGAGCCACAGGCACTGCCTGTAATGACATGTATATGATGACATGCAGTTGTATATCCTGCAACTTTAATGAATTCATTTATTAGTTCTAACAGATTTTTTTGTAGAATCTTCAGGGTTTTCCACATATAAGGTCATGTCATCTGCAAGCAAAGATAATTTTACTCCTTTTCCAATTTTGATGTTCTTTTTTTTTGTTTGTTTGTTTTGTGGCAGAGTCTCACTATGTTGCCCTGGGTAGAGTGTTCTGGTGTCACACCCACAGCAATCTCAAACTCTTGGGCTTAAGCAATTCTCTTGCCTCAGCCTCCCAAGTAGCTGGGACTACAGGTGCCTGCCATAGGCTTGGCTGTTTTTTGGTTGTAGTTGTCATTGCTGTTTGGCAGGCTCAGGCTGGATTTGAACCTGCCAGCTCTGGTGTATGTGTCTAGTGCCCTAGCTGTTAAACTACAGGTGCCGAGTGATGTCTTTTTTTTTTTTTTATGGAAGAATTTTTATTTTTACTGTCCAGATTGTGTAACATAAGGGCCAGAACTTTGTCCCAGACTATTTTATAAATTCTCGATTGGTCGGTGAGGCCAACAGGGATATTTCTTCTTGTCTAATGTGGTTTCCAGGAAGGCTTCATTCAAATCCTCAATGGTCATCTGCTCAAATGGAATCAAGTTCCTCATTTTCTCCAGCTGTTTCTCATATTCCACAATTCTGTCCTTTGAGAGAGACACAAACTCAGCACAACTTTTCACGTCTTCTTTTTCTTCAGCATCCACTAGGGCAGTGCATTTATCCTCTGGTACAGGAAACTTCAGGGCAGTAAACTTCTTCTCAAAGTCATCCACCAAGCCTGCCTTGGCCACACTGGCCTTGTAGTAAGCCCAGTCAATAGCTGGTGGATTCTCAGGTAGAGTAGCCAACCTGGAGGTGAGGGTCTCATTCCAAGATTTCAGGGAATTAGCAATAGCCTTTTGATTTCGGGGTATGATCTCTCCAAAAGCTACCCAGTCAATGGCTTTTAGAGCAAGTTTTCTCCCAGCCATCTTGGAATCCTTCACCGACCCTGATGGCCACAGTCACGAGTGATGTCTTTTATTTCTTTTTCTTGCTCAATTTCTCTGGCTAAGACTGCCATTATTAGGTTGTATAGGTAAGATTGTAAGGTTTCACTAGGTAAGCAGTGAAAGCAGCTATCTTTGTCTTGTTCCTGATAGTAGAGGAAAAACTTTCATTCTTTTACCACTGAGTATAATGTTGGGCATGAGTTTTCATATATGATTTTTATTATGTTGGGATAATATCTGGTTTGTTGAGTAATTTTGTCACAGAAAGGTGTTAATTTTTTTTTTTTTTTTT